AGGCCTGAAGGTCACCGCGGCGCGGCCAGGGCGGTCGAGCGGCACGAGCTCACCATTCGAGCGGCGTTCGAAGTCCAGAGCGGGAAGACTGCCGCACCACGGGGACCCGGGCCAGGGCCGGGGACGGCGGCTGGAACCCGCGAGAGAAAACGCGAACGCGCGAAGAGCCGGAGCGCGCGGTCCATGGCTCCGAGGTCCGGGTAGAACTTCCGGGCTCTCTGGCCACGCCTCCGCGCTGGCTGTCCCGCCCAAGGGCCTCACTCAAATCCAATCAACAGCCTCAGACCGGGCTGGTGGAGCAGGACCATTAGCCAATGGCCAGTGAAGCGTTGAGGGGCGGGCTTAACTGCCTCAGCGTGGAGCCCTGGGATTCCTGGGAAATTGGTGGGACGGGAATGATGTGAAAGAGGACTCGTGGTGCCCCTGAACCAGTGTTACCGTAGCTAACGGAGAGCTAGGTATTCGCTGATGAGTACGTTACTATTTAGATAGTAGCCTGTAGACTAGAGAGACTTTATTTATTCATTTATCTATCATGTACTCACTCATTACATGTTCTTTTCTATTGGCTCTTTTTTTAATCTCTTCTAGAGTATAGAAATTTTGTAAAGCAAAGCATAGAGAATGAAATCATAAATATCCATTAAAAAAACACTGATAATTATTCAGTTCTTTTAACGTCATTTTGGGGTCTGTGAAGTTTCCTTTCTCTTCTTAATAGGTACTTTAAAAACTCTATTTTTAAATGTAGTGCAGAAGATATCTGTAATTATAGGTGATTTCGGAAATTTTTTTTTTGCATTTAGGTTTTCCAAGCCTTTTTTGCATTGATAACATGTATTTTAAAACTAAAGTCATATTATTTTAATAGATGATAAAAGAAAAGCAGGAACGAATATAAAATTAAACTGAAACCACAATTTTATCTTTCCTTGTCTCTTCTTTTAATTGCTTGGAAACAGATGACAGTTAATCAAGAGAGAAAACTACTGGATGATATCCAGAAGTCAAAAGTCCAGAACCTGAAAAGCCAAGCTCATTAGAGTTAGTCTCTGTCAAACCTGTAGGTAACACTTTTTATGTTATTTTGTGGCTTATGAATTTGACTCATATATTTAAAATTTGAAAATTTAAATGAGAGCAAAATAGGTGGATTAGAACATTCCAGAACCCCTGCCTCTTTATATTTTGGTATTTCCCCCATCAAATAAACCAAGATTTCTTTATATAATGCAACAGTTTTAGAAAACAATGAACCACCCATCCTATATGTTTATGCATTCCACCATTAAAAGACAAACAACATAAGACAAAAAGCAACACACTAAAGTTTAGTGTGAAGGTAATATTGTTAGTGTTGTCAATGGTTTGACAGAAAACTAGACAAACAAGCATTTACTAACAATTACTATCATTTCCTAGGAAATGCTAACATTTTGATGTATTTGCTTCATACCCTTTTAAAATGAAAGAAATAACAAATTACTAATAATGAAGTGACATTTTCTTCCCCATCTTCCCAGAAACTATCATTTTTTAAAATATAATATTCACCAGTGTATTTTTTAACATTTTTTATTGATTTATAATCATTTTACCATGTTGTGTCAAATTCCAGTGTTCAGCACAATTTTTCAGTCATTCATGGACATATACACACTCATTGTCACATTTTTTTCTCTGTGAGTAATCATAACATTTTGTGTATATTTTCCTGTGCTATACAGTGTAATCTTGTTTATCTATTCTACAATTTTGAAATCCCAGTCTATCCCTTCCTACCCTCCACCCCCTTGGCAACCACAAGTCTGTATTCTCTGTATATGAGTCTATTTCTATCCTGTATTTACACTTTGTTTTTGTTTGTTTGTTTGTTTTTGTTTTTGTTTTTGTTTTTGTTTTTAGATTCCATATATGAGCAATCTCATATGGTATTTTTCTTTCTCTTTCTGGCTTACTTCACTTAGAAGGACATTCTCCAGGAGCATCCATGTTGCTGCAAATGGCATTATGTTGTCGGTTTTTATGGCTGAGTAGTATTCCATTGTATAAATATACCACATCTTCTTTATCCAGTCACCTGATGATGGACATTTAGGCTGCTTCCATGTTTTGGCTATTGTAAATAGTGCTGCTATGAACATTGGGGTGCAGGTGTCATCCTGAAGTAGGGTTCCTTCTTCACCAGTGTATTTTTTGGTTTGAGTATTGGTATGCAAACAATGGTTTTAAATTTTACCTTAAAATTTTACTGTTTTATAACTGAATTCTGTCTTTAACATCTAGTCATGCTCTTTTTAATTGGTAGTATTCCATCACATGAATTTAGCACATTTTATTAATCACATTTTCTTAATAAACTTTTTAACTTAACAGTATTTCATTGAATGAATAGAGAACATTTTATTTATAATAATAAATATAATAAGTTTCTTAATGAAGGGTACTTTTTGCTATTACACACAATGCTCCAGTGATTTCTGTATAGGTTGGCTCTCTTCATTGAGTAATATCACTCTTAATTTCTGTTACTTGTTATTTTAAACTCTCTTAAATATTGATTTCTATGCCAGTTGTATATTGGTTATTATTTGCCAGATGTGTTTCTCATTTTATTTTAGATAATTCTGTTTCATTTTTATTTTGAGTTTAATCTTCTGTTCCTACCATACAATTTAACTTAAAATGTTAACTGATAGACTTTTTATAAATGGACTATTTTAATCCCTTTTAACAGTCACCTATTTATACATGTTATGATCCAGAAAATTTTCTAAGCACTTTATGTGTATTAATTCTTTTAACAGTCAAAACAACCCTATGAGGTATGTCCTATGATTATTCCTATTCATAGAAGAGAAAATTGACGCCCAAAAGCATCATATTAGCCTACAATCTTTACTATTTTGCGGGCATGTTGTGAGATTCATTTTCCGTATCATTATTAATATTTTTCAGGAAATAGAGCCTGGCACTGCAGAATGATTACAAATAATTTCTAAAAAATGAATAAATGAGTGTGGAAAATGTATTTTCCGAAGAGAGTCACAACAGTATCTCCCATCCCATCTGCTTGTCTGCAGTGTGACTTTGTCACAGGTGAGTTTAAATAGTATCTTCTCCTTAAATTTAGGCTGGACTTATGACTCCCTGATAACCAATAGGATGTGAGAAAAGCAACTACTGAAGGTAGATCAGAAAAAGCTATGCTCCTTCATCGTGATCCTCTGGAGATGTTTGCTCTGTGGTAAGCCAGCCACCGTGTGAAAAGTTTGACTGCCCTGAGACATTTGTGATGGAGGGGCCACAGTCAACAGCTGTAGCTGAGCTCCCAGCTGGCACCCAGCATCAATTCTCAATCATTTGACTGAGCCATCTTGGATATCTGGCCCAGATGGACTCACATAACTAAATCTGTCACTGAACCGAGCTTGGGTCCATTTGCCTTTGTGCAGTAAAGCTAGTCCACTGACATTGGGTTGTGGTGAGGGTAAGTGCAGCATTTATTGCAGGTGCCAAGCAAGGAGTACAAACAGCTAATGCTCAAAAACCTGGTTATGTGATAAGCTTTCTTGCAGTTTTGATTGTATGAGATCTTCTGCCTACCTATGAGAACTTTCAGTAGGTATTCTATGAAAATTATTTCACATGTAGATGTTTAAAAATTGGAAACACCCAAATGTCCATCAGCAGGAGGATGGATAAATGAAAACAAGTGAACTAAAACTCCATGCAGTACCACAGATGGATCTTAATTAAGAAGTATAATATTGAGAAAAAGAAGCAAGATGGCAAGAAAAAAAAAGCCAGTGTGAATTAATTTATAGTAAAGTTTTAAAAAAGTTAAAGAGGCAAAACTAAGCCATTTTAGGGATGCTTGTATAGATGATGGCTACCTCTGTGAAGGTGGTGGTGTGTGGCAACGGACACGTGTAGAATTCTGGGGTTCTGGCAGGGTTCTTTTTCTGAGCCTAAGTGGTGAATACATGGGTTCTTGCTTTACAATGAGTTATTGTACTCTACACTTGTGTTTGACATACTTTAGTTTTTTGTGTTACAGTCCACAAAAAAAAGACAGTTTTCTGTATACTGCCATTAAAGAATTCTTGAGCTTATGTTGAGTGTGGAAAAGTGTGTAAAATTGGCTACTATTTATGGAAAGGAAGAGAGGAAGGAAGGAAGGAGAGAGGAAGAAGAGACAGAGAAAGAAAGAGAGAGGTGCTTGTAGAAGAAAACTTTGGGCAGAAGAACTAGGTGGCCAAGGGGCAGGGTTAGAAGAAAAATCACTATTCACTGTATACCCTTTTGTTCCTTTTGAATTTCATACCATGTGAATGTATTACCTATTTTAAACAAACAAACAAACAAACAAGTAAATAAATCTTCCTAACTGCAAAAAAGTTTTCTAGCAACTCTAACCATGTTTACCCACAAGGGGTCACTATTGAATGACATTTAATTCCAGTTGTTCATCAGGGAAACACTGTTCTGAATTCTCCCCACTCTCACTAGGGAGTGAAGAAGCATTTTCATTTATGTTCTTACTTTATTTTACACATTATATTCCATTGTTAAAAAACCCTCAATTCACAAATATGCTCAAAAATAAAAAATATACATTTAAAATGGGGTGAAAGAAGACAAAGAAGTTTGATGCAAAAAATTAAAAAAAGGAAGTATTGTTATTTATACAATTAAAAACCTTGCTCAGAACATTAAGACTATGAAAACATTTTTTCCCCCTGGTTGAGTTAGCTAAAGGCAATGCACGAGGACCATTTAGGTGAAATTCCTGACCGGTCTCCATAGATCAATTATGAAACCACGCCGTCTTATGCTCTAAGAGAAGTGTTAGATGTTCTGGGACATCAGACGAGCAAAGTTTCATTCATAGTTAGTTATGGATGAAAATGAAAGTAAGAATGGTATAGAAAAGGAAGAAGAAAAACCTTAAACTTGTGCTTTAAAAATTCTGTCTTACACATAAGATAGTGAGTATCTTCACTTGGCTGGATTTTTCAAAATTTGATTATTGCAGTGAATTCCCGTTTTTCCTAAAGCTGAACTCATTGTCCTTGGGCTAATAATGGGTTAAATGCTATCTTGTAAGTTCAAGGAAATTAGCCCTGCTCAAACACTGCGCACATGCAGTAGTGCTTTGGGCAGAATAAAGACAGGGGAAATCAGTGTGTGGGAGACAGTTTTCTCCGTGACAAGAGCT